TCAAATAGAATTTTTGTTCAATAAAATTATTCAAATGCGACTGTAGCTTTTTTTTTCCCGAAATTTTGTCTTCAAAATAAGGGTGCGTCTTATATTCCGAAAAATACGGTAATTTGTATATAATTTAAATCGTGGTGTGATTCTTTTATGCCAGGTTTGGCGTTATGCGTACAACTTGTCGATGTGTAGACAGCTAACTTCACCTCTTCTGCATCTCTCATGAGAGATCGATATTATGTTGAGTCATAAAAGTTTAAAATGCTTTTGGGATTTTCCATCCGCATTCCAATGTTAATGAAAGAAGGGTAAAAAGTCTTCCTAAGTGTATGTTTATATTAACGTGTAATTTACACTTACTGTGCACAGAAACGGAATACATGCACACTTATATATATATATAGATAGCTGGTGCTTGGAGTTTTCCACACAGAAGGATCACAACTCTGTTTTGTCCGGTTATAAAATAGATATTTGAAAACAGTTTTGACATTGTAAGATATTGGTAGTGTGTTTGAAGAGAAAACAAGCTTTTTCACGGATTTCTATCAAAGGTAAAACTGGATAACATGCCTCAATCAGTTAGTCTCTCTTCCAGTATATTCGTTTGTGTAGTAATGTTTGTATAGAACGTCTAACTTCCGAGTCAACTGTTTGTGTAAATTTTCTTGCTACCAAGTCAGTCGTTGTGATGCATTGTTTTATAGGTCTTCCCTCATTAGTTATTTATGTTGTAATGTTCTAATAAGTCTTCCATCTGCCAAGTCAGCTGCTTCAGTTATAATGTTTTTATTGATTTTCCCTCCGCCGAATCAGCTGTTTATTTTGTATTTTTTTTACAGGTCATCCATCATCTGCCAAGCCAATTGTTTGTGTTGAAACAATTTTTATATGTTTTCCATTAGCCAGGTTAGTTGTTTGAAATGTAGTGTTTGCATATATTTTCCATTTGTCGACTCAACTGATGTATTATAATCAGGACGATAGAAGATCTTCCATTTGTTTCCAGATTGTTTGTCTAGATCTTTCATTTTCATTGTACTTTCTTGTTAAACGTATGCTAATCATCATAGAGGTAATTAAGTTTGAATTGTAATTTGAAGTGATGTGTCACAAGAACGTACAAAAAATACTCAAAATTCATGAGATGTGTCTTATCACTGTGTTAAATATAAACAGAAGAATGTCAAAAACGTGAATACTTCTGTTTGAATTACTTATAATAGTCTGAATATTTTAGTATTTAATGCACTATGGAGTGGGACATACAGGTGAACGTAAAACAATTTATATTAGCATGAAAAAAAAGAGAGAAAAACAGAACATGGAAGTATTATAGATTGTTATTTGCTGTTATCGATACTTTCTACCAATTTGAGTATATTATAATAATAAGGCCTTTAATATGCACATCAGCAATTCACATGACAATTGCAGCCGATATAAGTCATTTTGACTATGTTTGTTTTTCTTAGGTATTGTAATGCCATCGAAAATTGTTCACTTATGGGAAAGATATGTAAACCCTTTCTGACGCAAAATATCCATACATTTAGCTTATAAGAACGTGTTCAGATCATAGATTTACAGTTTCCAAGATAGGAAACTTGTACTTGTACATGGAAAATGGATCAACACTGGGTATAGGACCATCCAGTAAGAGACCTGTAACAAGTCGTACCCTAGCCATGGTAAGCAAAGTGCGGCGTTTTGTAACAGGTGAGAACACATTAACACAAAGATCAGTCGCCCATGTGTTCCAAGCAAAATAATCAATTCATATCTCCGTCTGGAAATGAAGCCAGCTTGGTGTGCGTTCACCAAGATAAGGCTTTCAGTCATACCTCCCGTTTAAACATTGCATATCTCAAGCGACTGAACAACAAGGAAAGTATTTATGCTATTTCATATCAAGACATACCGCCCAAGTCGCTGGACTCAGCGCCTTTGGATTTCTGTGCTGTTGAAACGAAATATTTAACGAATGAAGTTAGAACTAATATTCTGAGAAATGCTACACTTTTAGTTATACTGGAAACAACTGTACTGTGAATTATGATAGATTAAAACTATAATCACATATTATATTGCTAGACGATACATTTTATAACCTTCACTTACACATATTAATCACAGTTCTAATTAAGTTTAATATTTAGATATCGGCCCGGCATGGCCAGGTGGTTAGGGCGCTCGACTCGCAATCTGAGGGTCGCGGGTTCGAATCCCCGTCACACCAAACATGCTCGCCCTTTCAGCCGTGGGGGCGTTATAATGTGACGGTCAATCCCACTATTCGTTGGTAAAAGAGTAGCCCAAGAGTTGGCGGTGGGTGGTGATGACTAGCTGCCTCCCCTCTAGTCTTACACTGCTAAATTAGGGACGGCTAGCGCAGATATACCTCGTGTAGCTTTGCGCGAAATTAAAAAAACTAAACAAACAAAAAAACAATATTTAGATAAACTGAAATTCTCGATTGGAGAAAAAAACAACAACACAAAACCAATAAATACTACCTACATACGTATTTTAGGAACCAAGGTTTACAGCTGGAGAAAGTACCTTTTAAGACGTATTAGTAAATAGTGTCTTACACAGAAAAGAATGATAAATATTTAGTTTACTTTCAAGTGGCTATTAACTTGAGTGAATTTGTTTCCAAACGTTGTTAAGTTAATTTTTAAAAAGTTTAATTTCATGCATATTTCAGTATTTCGTAGAATATTGCTTTCATCACAGAGTTTGGTTTATATTCCAAACGATGACAAAGCGTTATAAACCAATAGGCCTCGAACTTGTGATAAAATCACGTAAACTGCAGGTGGTTTTCTTTCACTTATCTCTCAACCAACTTATAACGTAAACTGCAGATGTTTTTATTCCACGTATCTCTCAACCTGTCACGTAAACTGCAGATGTTTTTCTTCCAACGTATCTCTCAATCTATCACGTAAACTGCAGATGTTTTTATTCCACGTATCTCTCAGCCTGTCCATTTCGGATTCAAAATCATGAACTATTTTTAAACGCTTTTGATTCTGAATCTAAAATGGCCAGATGAAGAGGAATGTGGTAAAAAAAAAAAACGTTTGCAGGTTTCGAGATTTTTATCACAAATTTTAAGCCTATGCATTTAAAGTGTTTATGTACTGTACACTGTCAGTTATGCATCTATTTAAGCATCTAGTAAGAACTAAATATCAAATTACTTTTCACCATAAAATGTATAATTCATATTTTATGTTTATATTTACGTCGTTTAACAGATTTCGCTTGGTAAATTATGTTAAAAGCGGATATAAATTACATAGTTAGATATCCTAAAAGTCGTTGATCACTGATCTCAGAATCAGGGTTAATGCCATAAAATTTAACCCTTAAACTGGTAAAACTTAAATCCATGCGTGCTTTGCCGTAACGCACAGTTGATGATGACATATTTCACGCCATAATGCGGTGGAATCATATACGGGGATTTTTTCACACAGTTTTTAGTGTTGTTATGAGAAACGTTTTTTTAAGTAGTCAAAGGCATTTTTGGTTCAGTTTCAACAAATTTTACAGTCTTTAAAACGCTTCCATTTTCCAAATACTCCTTTTCTAGATTGCTTTTTCATATTACTTTTATCACGAAGCGGTTAAAGAATGTAACTGTGTAGCACTTAAAACAGTTAAATGACATTGTTGTATTAGATATTTATCAAAGAAGTTTAATACATCACACAAAACAATCCAAATAAATGAATGATATACAATCTCATTTATTTGTTCATCCACCCATCTTTCTAATTTATCTGTCTATCTCTAAGTTTGTTTGTCTGTCTGTCCAGTCATCTATCTGTCTATCTCCCTATGTACCTGTATTTGTTTACGAAGTTCAAGATCATGCATGCATTTTATAAGTTCACGTACTTCATTGAACTTCAAAGTTGAAATACACAGCATTAACCAAAGGTGATTAGTTTTTGATCCTAATCTTTAAAACACTTCTGTAAGAATATGTAGCTAATTGTGCGTTTATGGAACGATATCAAATACCACTGAAAAGCCTTAATGTAGTGCATTTGGAAATATATGCAAAACTATTTTGGCGACTGGTAGTTTCTCTTAAGAAATAACCTATACGCTTAAGTTCATATGCAGCAGCTAAACAATTGTAAGGCCTTAAATACATTTTGTGAAATTCTTCGTGTGTTTATTAGTTACAAATGATAGAGCTCTGCTTCAAATGTAGAAATTAATTAAATCATACTGGATCTCAGAATGTTTATCTAGGAGTATCTCAAGAATCAAATACGGCATAAATACATGTTGATGAAGTCTGTAAACAATTCCCTAAACACGCATCTAAGGAAGTCGTTTCTCGAGAGTTTCATACGTGATGAATGTATAGAAATGTTAAAGATTTCTTTAACAAACATATATATATATAGAATCATGAAACAGTTGGTCCGCTGTATAATACCCAATGATGAATTCGACGAAATTTCATAATAATATTTACATACCTAAATGAATTTAGGTTACTATTCGGTGTAGTAAAACGGACTCGAAACCCCGTAGATACGTGATGAACGTATCAACTTTTATTTGTTTTACACGAGACTCCGTTGTTATTCCCACCCTGGTGTTATACGTGTTTTGATATTACATGTTTTCCTGGTGTTCTATATAAAAAATTAATTCAATTTGTCGAACCTATAAATTATTATGTTTTTATTTCACTTAAGAAGTGAAATCTCGTTAAACTATTTTCAAAGATGACAACAGTTTACTTTTAGAACAACTTTAAATAAAGTTTCTTACCAGCTAAAACGTAGCCTTGTTTCTAAATAAAGATTTAGCCTTGAGTACTTCTGAAGTTTATTTGGACACAAATAGGTGTTACGTATTTTACGAAATCATCAGTTGCAATTTCATGAAATGTGACTTAATTTTGAAAGTGTGTGTAAACTTAAGGGAATATTTTTCTTCGCGAATCTGTTATATGGTTCGGTGAAGGAAGAGGGATATAACTTTTTAGCTGCGGCATAGCAGCTCATAGAATGGCTCTGAGTTTGTTTTTTCAAGTACAAACTTTTAGCCCATAGTTCCATCATCTCTTGAGCGATTTGTGATTTAATTACAGTTTTGGACTCGGGGGGTCAGACTCTTTCGATTGATGCACTTGACCACAGTCAAAGTCTCATAGATTAATTTACTTTAATCCTGCATAAAAAAATTCAGTGGTAGAGGTCTTGATGAATAATAAAATCGAATCGGGTGTACGCGCGCCCCATGCTTGGTATTGTTGGCGCACAAATATATATTTAATAAGAAAGGGAAAAAAAAGTTTCATAGATTAATTTACTCTAATACTGCCTAAGAGAGTTTCAAGTGCCGTGGCTATTGAGGATTCCCTCTTGTTTTGTTTTTGGTCAGTGTCCTAAAAGAAGATGACATATTCGTAGCCAACCTGTGATCCAAGTTCTCGCATTGTGACTGAACGGCAAAAACGTGTCTAGCTGTTGAAGGTATACTCTGTTTTCTATATACGCCTTACGAGAATGGATAATCAATCATCAACACAATAGGGTTAAATATTTATTCCAGTGTCGTGTACGTGGAAAACTAGTGTTAATTGGAACACGGGTTACACGCTAGAGGGCCGAATGAAATGTGTGGCGGTTAGTATGTAAACTATGTAAGATTACCATAACGTTGTTTCATAAAAGATAGCACAAAGTAGAATGAATCGAAGCAACTTCAACAACTGTTACAATGCCAGCGATATCTGAAACAAGATTCTAACGATGTGCTACAACACTTTAAAAAAAATCTTTCTAGCCTGTGTTAAATGATCTTGGCACCATGCCCTTACCAAACATCCAGATAAACCAATACAAGGTGGTGAGTCTAAAAGGACTACA